ATATAAACTTAACAACCTGTGCATTACGAGGCGATTTATACAACATCATAAGGCAGTTCAAATCTTAGGTTCATAGTAATTAGTATACCTCTCCCATTGTTTACTTGTTACTGCATGACTTGAGCCGCTGTTTCAAGATATTTACCTTTTTAATATCTGTTTACTTACAATTTCTAAACAACAAGTCTACCATTATAAAATGAGGGTAGAACAGGTCAATTTTTAATTACCGGTAAATACTTGTAACTGGTGCAGTACAGATAGCAAAGAAAAAAAAATCTATAAGTATATTAACAGTCAACTGTTGTATATTAACAGTCAACTGTTTTCCTGGAAAATGCTGATAATAAATCCTTAGTACTGAGAAATGCTGCATGTCTGTCGACTTGAGAAATTTTAAAGCTTCAATGGAATAATGGTGTTTATTTTTGTCACACACAAGTTTTATTGGCTAGACTTGTGAGAAGATGTCGTCGGGGATGAATGAAATGTTAGGAGAGACAGGAAATAGCCTAATGTAGCTTGCCTCTCCAATGTACGTAAACATGAACTAATTATTCAGCTCAGAAGTCTCGTAACTTGTTCCTGTTAGTTTTATTAACATACTACATTATTGCGTTCAATTTTAGGAAAATCGCTATCATCATTATTACTTACTTTGAAAGTATTTTGAGGTGTTTTTGGTATCGTAGGCCTAAAGTGTGATGTTAATTAATGGATTTGTACCAGCTATTAGTTTTAAATGAAATCCAATAAATAGAAGAGTCATTGATGGTTTTGTTTGAAAGATCATTTAAGTTAATTCTGTGTGTGGCATGAAATTATTATTTCACACTTTGGTTTGTAAGTTTATATAAAAAAAGAGTAAGTTCCAATGGTTATGCACTGTTTTCTAGGCTACAATAAGTAAAAATTTGAGTACACAGTGTACACCAGGTCCTGTTATATAACTATTACGAACTTGAAATTTGTAGAAAGACACGCGTAATTATTTCATGCTTGTAAGGCTTTAATCACAATCCTATAAAGATAGTTATCACATTCAAATTTTTATTTACGTAACCATTTGATATTTTAATTAAAATTTTGCATTTTCACATAAGTTTTTGAAAACTTTCACATAAAAAATTTGACTACAAATTTTACGATTTAAACAAGATCTGATGCGACAACAGATATAGGGCAAAAACTTCTCAGTACATGACATCTTGTGTACCTATATTTCGAGCTAGAAAAATCCATTGTGAATATGAAGATAGAAGGTGTTTTACCTGTCTAATCTGTATACTTTCTGTTGCTGTCAATTTAAACAGCTTACATTTATTGAATAGTTTTTATTTAATGCAAGTTTATCATTAATTAGCATAATTCAGTTTTAGGTTAAGGATACCAAGGAAACATCACATTATGTTTTATTGCAGTCCTATTATAGCTCGACTAGTAGTTGTATAGAAAAGAAAAAGCAAGCTGTGATACACGCCTTTACATTGGCCTATTACAGTCATAGATAACATTTGATGCGCATCTTCATTTTAGTATTAATTATTTTAATACATGTACTATGCATTCTCAGATCCTTTAGGTCATAATTATAAGCCATTCACTAAGACCCTTAACTGTAGCACATATGTTTACAGATTTATTCCCCTCTTTGGAAAAACCAGCCTTTACACCCCTTGAGTTAGCAAGGCTGTTCATATGCTTCTTATTTACTATCCAGCATTGAAAATTGTCATACATTCTGTCCTAGTGAACATGTATTCTATAAAATTCTGAAGAAGATAGTTGCAATAAAATTTTTGCAGAATATTTGAGTATAAATAGTTAGTTTTTTGCAGAATTTACTTCTCCATTTTTCCTCTTTTAAGTATTTATTTTAGTTTGATTGTAGAGGAAGTTGAGTATCACCTCTTTGAGAGAAGGAAATGTTGTCTAGTCTCTAAGTGTAAATAGGAAGCATTTCTGAAATTATTCATCCATTAATTGTCTATTTTTAATACCTGATAGAGAAAGGGCTTTCTTTTAAAGTAGGCCTAATTATTATAAAATATGTTAATATGTTTGAGATTTTTGTTTTGAATTAAGATATGATAATTTATTGAACTTGGAATGGGAGAAAATTGCTACCACAAATTGGCCAAAAAACATTGTGTTGCTACAGTACTATAATATTTAAAATCTTCGTTGTACTCACCTGCTGAAAAAGTAGTGGATAGTGCAAGTTAGTGGATTAAACAAATATTTTTTTAGATGATGGCCTGAGAGTTATTCAAGGTTTGAGGAATAACAACAGAATGTTTTTAAACCTGTCAGGATTAAGAATAATCCTGTCTAAAAATAGCTACATTAATACTAGACAAAACAGTATTAGAAACTTGCATTTACTCTTTATCCGGTTTAATTCTACTACAGACAAACATATGATTTAAGAATGCAAATGGATGGAATACAATATTTCATTTGATCTCGTGTTGGTTGAAAGAAAGCTGTCTGAATGGTTACGAGTTGTTGTCTGTGGGTTGATGGGAATGATACGATAAAATGTTGACGTTGGTTTACATTTCATGAATAGTAATAACACGACAAATATTTGCATAAAGTTTTACGCAGGACGTTACTTCATTATCATGACAAATCCCTATTTTCGTTCCGTATTTAATGCTTCTATAGAAGTTTGTTGGTATTGTTTTTCTTGTAATAGGCTACTGTTTGTCAAGGCAAATCCCAGTTTGACTTTCTATAGAAGTCGGTCTTTGTTTACATAAGAGTGGCATTGTGGATGAAGCGTATTGATCAGCATTTTCTATTGTCATTTGTTCTGTTATTTCTGTTTTCATTCAGTATTAGTTTACGTACCAGTTATAATGATCTCATAGTAGATATTTGTAGTTGATGCTGACGTACATCCTCAGCTTAGTGTCCCGATCTTTTACGCGAGCTAAGTCCCACTCTTTTACTCGAAGAACAATACTTTGGAAATAGAATAAAAATTGCCGCAATATTATTCTTATGAAAATTTTTTGATTCATTGGTACCGTACCTGTACCAAAGTTTTGCAAGTCTGTTTGTTGCATTAAGCATGTATTTGTTAGTTGTAACTGTTTAATTACAACACTTTTAGTATTTGTTGTGGTTTCCAGTTGCCTCATCGTCGGAAACTCACGGGGGGAGAGGGGGGGTGTAGGGGGGTGACCATTAACATTTATACATGTTCATAAACCATGAGTATCTGGCGATACACCTGCCTATGCCTATCACTGTCATGCCGATCTGTACAGTAAAGTCTAATGAGTCTGACTGAACTGTTTAAGAACTGTCATAAAAATCAGTCACATTAAAATTGGACAGGTTCAAACTTACAGTAGAGCTACTATACTATACAAATTCAGAATGGTTTAAGTTAGGAAAATAAATATTATCTATATAGTGAAATATTTTATATTGTTCACTTCATGTAGTTTCATTTATTCATCTAGGAAATTCATTTATTTCAGTAAATAGGAATCAGTAAAATCAGTTTAGTTTACACAATTTAATATTTATAGTGCTTTCATTAGTATAATGAAAAACATAAAAAGAAAAAAAATTTTAGAGTAGGAAAAAAGACTTTTTAAAATATCTCCATAATCTTCTTATAAGTGACACAAAATTTAATGTTTACTCACATTGTTGTTTTTATATTTATTCACATTATATATATACTTTTTATTTCCACTTTGTTATTATGAAACTATTTAAATTATATTTTCTTCAATTACAGGGTTCCCACGGTCAGGGAAAAGTCAGGGAAAAATGATTTTTTTTCAAGGTCAGGGAAAAGTCAGGGAATTTTGAAATTGGTCAGGGAAATTTGAAAAATAAGCAAAAGTCAGGGAAAAGTCAGGGAATTGTGTAGAAAATAATGTTTTTGTGAAACAGCAAGAAGCAAAATCAGTAAAAGCTAAGGCAGTTTCTTCCATCATTTTGGGTATCTTTATGTTATTTTTGATTATGAAGCATCTGTTTTATTTTTATATTTTTTTACTCTTAAAATGATTATGCTTCTGCCTGAAGATTCTGGATATTTTTTGTCATTATTAGTAACTATCTTATTAAGAAAGAAGCTAAAAGGAGTTTAAGCATCCCTTGTCTCCTGAGTTATTTATGGTTTGTTCGTGTGAAAGAGGCTGATAATCTGCTCAGGAGGCTGAAAAAAATATGAAAATGAACTTGCTTGTGAAGTAAAATGCCAAGTGCAATGCCTTCAGGGTCAAGGTCAAAGAAAAGTAATAAAAGAATCAAGTAAAGATATTTGAGAAACTTGAGAAAAACACTTAGTGGACTTCGATTAAGTACCAATAATTTTAGTGCCATGTTGTGTTTTTGCACACATGCATTAAACCATAACTTTGAAATACTAACTGCCATAGCTAGTTTTATTAGTAGTATTACAAGCTTTTACTGCATTTTGCTTTTAATGTAGCCACTTCATTACCTGTCTTATTGTTTCTTGTCCAACACCAGTTTTCCATTGATAACTATCATATATTTTATTAAAATACAGGCCTGTTTTAGTCAATCCTGCATTGATTTCACTGCTTTGCATTTGTAAGAGAATGAAACATCTTTCAGCATAACATGTACTATCAAATACTTACATTTTGGATAAATTTACTTCATACTTGTTGAAAGTAAATAAGACAAGTTGCTTATGACAATTGCTCACTAATATTCATGTATTTTTTATCTTGAATAATTTAAAATAAAGAATTGGAGAAAATAGGTTGGCTTTTTGGGGAGGAGGAGGTCGAAATACATGTATAAAAAATACATTTAATGCTCTAAGATTGTGCAGACTTGACGCTGTTATTGGTCAGGGAAAAATGGTTTTGGTCAGGGAAAAGTCATGGAAAAGTCAGGGAATTTTGATTTCTCTTCTTTGTGGGAACCCTGAATTAGATATATTTGATATTTCTCACCATCAACAAACATCCTATATTTTATCATTGTTTGTTACACAGGAGCGGGAGTTGGAAGGTGTAAATGAAAACACTCCTGAATCGTCAAAGTTCTGTCAACAATTGATCGGCCATATTGAAACATTAGGATGGGAAAGGTAAGATTTCCGTAGGAAAAACATAATAACCAGCAAAAATCTTGATTTAGATATTTTCATGTAATTAAGGACTGTTTAAATCTCTTGGATCTGGAAATAACCTTTATATAGGTAAAATATTGTTGATGAATTCCAGTATTATTTCTGGGGAAATTATTTTGTCAAATACCACTAATACAATTTCAATGAAACTTCACAGAATAGATTGGTAGGTCAATATCTTGTGAACATATATATTACACAAGTTTTTCGCTTTAATGATTTTTGACTGAGTTATTGCCCTTGAATAAAAAGGTGTTTCTTTTTGTGTAGCCAGCTACACAGAAGTTTGTCTGGACTACTCCCGAGAAACTTAACTACTGGTGCAATTTCATCAAAACTTTAGGGGAATGATCAATACCATGTGTAGTTGTGCATCTCATCAACATTTTGCAGTTCATTGATTATTGTCAAAGTTTTGAGTTTTGGCCCTTTCATGATTTTTGATTTTGAAATTTGTCCAGACTTCTCCCATAATACCACTAACGCAATTACAATGAAACTTTTCATGATTGATCGATAGCTCAAATTCTTGTGCATATTACAAAGATTTTCAGGTTGAATGACTTTTTTATGCCCAGTTATGTCTATCATGAGGCGACACATGTGATCACTGATCGTTTTTGTTGATATTGTGATAAAACTCATTACAGAATACCTAGAATGAAAAAAAAATGTAAGTATATTTTATAGAAAATGAGTTGGGCATACATAAAATCCTTGCAAAAGCTGCAAAAAATAGCAGTTAGATAAGATTATAATGGTAAGGAAACACTTTAAAGGATGCATTCTCAGTGCAAAAGACGAATACATTATTTTTTCCTTGTTGATAAATACAGAAACCAGTAGTTTGATATACAAACTTTAAGTAACGTAAGCAGTGTTGGGATGTGTTGTTCTCCCCTCTACTTACTTACCTAGAAATAAACCTATAAGATTAATATGATTTCAGATTAGTATTCATAGACCAGTCATTCACAGAGCTACATGTACAGTATATAGACAATGATAGGAGGGAACATACCATGAAATTATTCATCGGAAATCAGGTACATGTATATGACACATGTAATTGTTTATTTATATTTTATCTCATTGTTATTTAACAAGTTAGTCTTGGTATATTGATATTCTTGCTTTTTAATTATTTTTGGGTTGGGTTTTACATCACACCAAAACAGAATAGGTCATATGGCGACTTTTTAGCATTACTGGTGAAGGAAGACCCTAGGTGCCCTTCCATGCATTATTATTTACAGACCAATCTTGTATAAGTCCTACTGAGTTCACAAGAATGCATGTTTCCTTTTTATGTTTCATTCAAAGTGTATTTATTTTATTGTGAAAGAGTGATGATCAAAATAGGGTTCAAATCTATGATTTCTAGCTCGAAAGATAGACACCCCTACCCACATAAACCAGAAAAGATCATAAGTCATTATTGTCTTATGTTCAAACCAGATAATCCATAGGTCTGTATACAGATGTATACATGTTTTGGATATTACACTATTCATAAGTATAAGGGTAGACTATAGGATGATTTTACCAGAACTTAATCCATCATCTGCACCATTTGCAATGTCAGGATTGCCAACATACAAATACCTTTGCTACAAAAAACTTGTATCTGGGATATTACTGTGGTAGCCAATAGGCCCAAAACTGATCACATTGTATATTATTTGAAAAATTCAATTATCTTTTTAATCATACTATTAAGAATTTTTGAATCCAGCTACTAGAATGAACTATTAATGAATAGCTACACCCATATCAAAGACCTTGTATGTATATGGTAAGTTCTGCTTTTTCAGTATCCAGTTGGCACACCTAAATGTTCAGTGGAGCTACCTTCAAAATTTGACCTACATTGGACTACACAGGTTTGCATTCTTTAAATTATTTAAAATTGGCTTTTTTGCCTATTATAGTATGGCATTCACTTTTGATAGATACTCACTGAATTCAACAAAAGTTAAGACATTTTCAAAGGGAGATAATCAAAACATATGAAAAATTTAAGAGTAAGAGAGTAACTTCTATGTACAATATCTTTATGATACTTTACTGTTGTTTCATGTTGGCACTTAGGCCAACCGATTAGGCTTCGAGATAATTTTGAACGGTTTGATAGTAGGAAAAAACAGTCTGTAAAATTGGTCTAACCGTTCACTCCAAATTAATCAGGCTGATTGGCACTATAAAGGTCATTTGGCACTTTTCCAGATTTACAAATGGAAGCTAGGAGCACTCACGTACTCCTCAAATGCTTTATTTCCATCACTAGCAGGTACCTGAGTAGAACCATTCACCGTCAGTGAGCTCAAAATACAGACTTGAGAAAAAAAATAAAAACCCAGTGGATTGGAGTTTTAATGTAAAAAAAATAACCACTTAGGCCTACCGCCTTCATGGTCAATTCCTACACATCAAAACTCCGAACTGGTGTTAAATATCCAATTATCACTGCTGAGGCTGATATTATTCCTTAAATATAGGAGTTTTTTAATATCAGAGTACTAAAATCGAGTGGCTAATACAGTAGGGCCTGGTCAGCCTGCATAGACGTTGCTGTTTTGATCTTCTCATGACAACACCTTGCAATTGACAAGGGCTCCACTCAGGTTTTTTTCCATGATGTGACTAGAAATATTTTTTCAAGATTCGTGTACCACTTGATGTAGGTTTCGAACAATAACTTGTGTGCAAACTTTTAGATAAGTCCATCAAATCGTTTTTCTGGAATCATCATTTATATAGTTCAAAATGACCAAACAATGAAAATCAATCAAGGATCACACAAAAAATTGATTTTCCATTTAATTCTGATCATACTACTTAATAATCCTTTGCAGAATTTTTATTTTAAGTGCTTCACTTGATCTAAGCAGGAATTAAAAATTTTGTGCTTTAAGGCTTTTTGACCTCAGTGCTCCTTTAAAAGAAATATAATACATGAATATGGTATATTAAAGAATATGATAATTTAATCTATAATGTTTATATTGATTATAGAGTGAGTTAAAAGATGCATACAAACAGTTCACTGCAGCTGTAGACTCCTACAGGGAATTCTGGGATGTGATGTCAGAAATAGATTCAAACACATGGGTCCTAGAGCCAGAGAAACCTACTTACAGTGCTAGACATAGGAGAATTGCCATTAGTAAATAATGTTTTGTCTCTTATAATGTTCTTAATGTATGATTTATGTAAATTTTGTTTAAATATTTATAGCTTTGAGTTAATATTGATACTTTGAGTTAATATGAACAGTTGGGAAATTCAACAAAAGATGAGCACTGACTTAGTGGAAATGGTGCTTTATTCTTAGATACAAGCTCTAATATGACCAAGAGCATGACACTCAATTTGACAGTAGTAGTTGTCAGTCGAGTCAGTGATTTTCACTCATGAAATTTTTACAATAATTATGCAAATTTGTGCTCAAAGCTTGCAAAGACAATATAGATGATATGATCTCTCTGCCGTTCTCCTTAATAATCTTGGAAATTGAGTCTTATGGTCATTTTTGTCCGTTCACTGATTCAGAAATCATGTTGGATAAGTAGTCAGTCACTTACAAAGAAATAAGTAATTTCTGGTTAGTTATCCAGGGAAGCCGATTTCAATTAATCAACCATATATGCAATGGGTGACCAAAATATGTGTTAAAATTGGCGTAAAACCATTAAAACAAACAAAATTTATTCATCTCTTGATGATAATTTAGCAATTTTTAGAATTAGGTCAAAGGCATATGATAATTTTTGATATAATAGTTGTAAATACACTGTCACCAGTATCTGAGAGGGGAAGTTGTGAGCTTTAATTTTTAAAAAACAATTTTGAAGTCAAATTATTTCTATTCTTTTTATTTATCAACACTGGAATTTATTTACTTTTTTCACTTAAATTCTATTTAGGGGAAAAGGTACAAAATAATTGTTCAATATGCAATTGCATGTTTTTGTTTTTCACAATCTCTATATATAAAATCAATGGTGAAATAGAAATATCAATACAATATTCTAACACACTTCTCACTATTTACTTATCAAAGAGATAGGGCCAAAAGTGCATTCTTACACAATATATGCACAGCACAGAAATCAAATGCTTACATGCATCAGGTGACGTCATACAAACCAAATGACGTCAGAAAAATTACTTTTACGCTCAATGTAATCCAACATAACTGTAATTAATAACTCAAGTGATTATATTCTTCGCATTTGAACATGAACCATGCATTTTTCTACCACAATGCATTAAAAAATGATATCTATTTTCTAAGCATACCATTATTCTCATATAACATTTTAACATTGTCTAAGAATGAATGTTCCTCATTATTCTAGGTGCAAGTGTTTCTGTACAACTTACAGTAGATCCAGCACACCCTCGTGTACTTCCGGAATGTAAATTTCTAGGTTCAGATCAAGGTTTGGTCTATAGATATTTTTGTCTTTTCATGTCACTTGACATCACCTATTTTAAGTGTAATATAAATAATAATATAAATAATAAATGTCTATTATTTTTAAGTATTACATTTTTGTATAAAGTCTTGTAACATCATTTACCCTGTGCAAAGATGGTATTTACAAAGAATGTAAAATGCTATATCAGTTGGTGTTGACATTACTTCTCTGTTCCTACATATACAAGATCATTGATTACAGCACCTCGAGTGTTGAGCCCCTGCTAGGGGACGTGAGTGTTGTTGCTCTTTGTAGTATTTCTCGTAAACAACCTCAATGAAATTAAGTCTGTAATTCTCAGAATATTTCATTGTTTTTATTGCTTAAACTTTGCTGCATTTACAAAATTAAATCCATCAATTTATTCCTTTATTTCTTAACCAAAGAAAAACATTTTAGAATGGAATAAAATTTTAATTTTGAGTTTATTTTAGTATGATATAAAGTATGGAATTCAGAAGTTTTGGACAGTAACTAAATATACCACTTGCTACTAGTGCAGACCAATATAAGCAAGCACTATCTTTGTCACCTAGTTATGGTCTACACTATTTTTATATAATTATTTAAAAATGTCCCCTAAAAATGATTAATCGTTTGTCCAGATTGTATGATTAACAAGTCCATTTAAAATGTTTAGGGTTGTAAGGGTTGATTACTTAGGTCTACTGTTTTCTTATCTCTGTGCATATGAATTCCCTACATTTCAATGTTATACAACTGTGTACTCAGAAGTTAAATCTATTTCTGAATTAGGCGTAAAAGCTTGGAGGCCCTGGGGCACTGGAACTTTCTTTAGGTTGAATAACATCATAGATGTTACTATATATTAATCAAAGATTTTATGTACATTTATGCAATATAAACTTATATATTTTTATTGTTAATAATGTTTATACGATGATATGATAAATATGAAAAATATATTGATGTAAGGTATGTTTGGGATGAACCCAATCCTCCCATACCTGTTACTTGGTTAATAAAGGGGCTACGCAGTTAGGGTCAAAAGAAAAAAATTGTACATGTATTAATGCAAACAATGTTATTTCAGCCATTGCACCTGTCAGACGAAATATGAACGCCAACATACATTTTTGGTAAGACTGTTATCATATAATAGGCAGTGTGTCATTGTTTTGAAGTTAGTGAGTTATCTCAGATATTAAATTCATTACACTATTTACACCACAGATCAATTTGATATCAGATGCTTGTGTTATTGGTTTATGAAGTTAAGAAATGGAAAAAAATCTTTTCTCTTATTTTTTTTCTGTTACTGATAAATCATATGAAAGGGTTTTAATGGTCTTTTATAAAAGCATTTTTGTTCTTAAAAATTTGTTAAGAAATATTTTCTGCATAAAATTCATCATTTGTCTTCATAAACTTCAGGTCATGTCTTTACAAAGTGCACTTCATTAAAACAAACAGACACACATACATGTAGAAATTTGATGCATATGTTAAAGTTAAGATGTAAAGATGAATAAAGATTTCTAATTGTTTACAGATATTAAAATAAGAAAAATTCCTTCTCCATTTCAGGGATGAGAGACTAGGTCTTCTAGAAAATTTACAAACTTTACTGGATGTGAAATTTCCTTCTCCTACAAATTCTAAGAAAGAGGTAAACTACATTTATATTTACAAGCACTATAATTAATTCCCTGAACCCTTAGCATGCTAGTTGCAACAGATTTACCCATGTGACCAGGGCTATGCAGTCTATATAATTATGTACATTTTTTTAAGAATTTTCCCTAAAAATGATAAATGGTTTTGTCCAGACTGAAAGAGTACTGGTCCATTTAACTGAAAGGAGCTTATAGTTGCCACTTTGTCCGTCCTTACCTAATTTTGGAGTTATTTCCCTTTGTTCATTTTTTTCTCATGGAGTAGAAGTGCATTGCAAAAGAACCATAAGTCTGCCTTGCCTATTTTGGAGTTATTGCCCTTTGTTAACTTTTACACTTAGAACATTGTCCGGGACATAACTCTTTAACTACAAGAGATACCAACAAGAAACTACTTCTCTGTGTCCAAAACCTATTTTGGGAGCATACCCAGTTCTACCAGCTCTTGTTAGCATGGCAAGAGTGAATATTCATCTATACCATCAGTATAGAGACTGTATACACTTACATGCAGTTTGACCATATACAGTTATTTTCTCAATTTTAGCATTTTGTTATTAAAATATCCAAAATTGAATTTGGACAATTCCATATGCAGTACAAGAGAAGTCAATTGCACAGATGCTGCAGACAAGAGTAAAAATCATGAATATTCTAAATTCTGATTTTAATATGTACATTGTATCTTTGCTACTTAATATTTTACACAAGGTGATGATTTCACAAATAATGAATTGCACTTACCACAAAATTTATACTTTTTCTTAAAATAGACCTCTTAACTTCAATGATGATATAGGATGTTTCTCTTCTTTTTAAGTTGTGTCCTTTTTATGAAGTTATCTCCCCTTAATCCATTGTATGAAGTTGTCTTCATTTTATTAATTTATCTCCCTTTAATTTAGGAGTTCAGTGTTGAGTGTGGTATTTGCTATGCTTACCGTATGGATTCAGAAATTCCAGATGAAGTTTGTAATGACACAAGATGTGGTCAGGCTTTCCATAAAACATGTGTTATAGAGGTAAGATAACCCTCTACTGAAATATGTCATTTTATGTCGTTTTGATTAAAGTGTACATATATTTGTTTTTCTTATGAGAGCATACAGTATTACAGTAAGTGGCACAGTTGTATCTTAGTGACTTTATTTGATTAGATTGAATCTGTAAGAAAATCAAATGTATTGATTATAATTTAAATGTATGTTATAATAAGAAAGTGAGATAAGTATCTGGACATGTTACATGAACAATAACGTTTTAGTTAAAATGAAGTTTAACAATTGCGAAAGAAAAACAAAATCGGTTAAGTCTATTATACAAATATACAACAAGAGGTCAATGGAAAATAAAGGATGCCTTAATACAAGTTTAAATACTTTGTTTCATAATCATATCTGTATCTGTTTTCAGTGGTTAAGAGCATTGCCTTCCAGTAGACAGAGTTTCAATACAATATTTGGTAATTGCCCATATTGTGAAAAGGTTAGTACCCCTTTTTTATCAAATTTTATTATTGGAAGGTCCGGCTTAAGATAATGATTATTATTGCTGAGCATGTAAAGATAGGTGTAAAGCATTACCATCTTGTCCCCTGTGTCATTTATAATTTTGTGCATTTATGAAGGATCATTTAAAATTTTTATGCCCCTAAAGGGAGGCATAATATAATCGCACTGTCTCTACGTCCGTCTGTGCATCCCTACTTCATCGTGTCCAGACTGTAACTGTGTCATACATTGAGGGATTTTAAAAACTTGGCACAAATGTCTACCACATCAAAATGATGTGTTATGTCCAAGAACCATGTTCCGACCTCAAAGGTCAAGGTCACACTATCATTTTGAAGTTTCACATTATCACAATTTAAGTTAATAGGTACACACATTTGTGTCTGGACTGTGACTTTGTCATGCATCAAATGTTTTTAAAATTAGTAGGCATAAATGTCTAACACATCAAGATGATGTGTCACGTCCAAGAATTACGTCTCTACCTCAAAGGTCAAGGTCACACTAACATTTTGAAGTTTCACATTATCACAATTAGAAATAATAGGTACACACAATTGTGTCCGGGCTGTAACTTTGTCATGGATGGAAGGATTTTAAGATAACTAGGCATAAATGTCTACAACATCAAGACAATGTGTAGTGTCCAATAACCACGTCTCTACCTCAAAGGTCAAGGTCACACTTCCATTTTGAAGTTCACTTTATCACAATTAGAGTTTATAGGTACACACATTCGTGTCCAGGCTGTAACTTTGTCATGCATCGAAGGATTTTAAAATAACTAGGCATAAATGTCTACCACATCAAGACAACATGGCGCGATAAAGACCCATGTCCCTACCTTCAAGTTCAAGATCACACTTATTCTCTCGAGAAGAGTGTGAAGATATACATTAATGTCTGAACTGTAGCTTTCTCAAACATGGAAGGATTTTAAAATGACTTACCACTTACATCAAGACAATGTGTCTGGGCTAAGGCTTATGTCCATCTGTCCGTGTGTTCCCACTTACACAACAATCATGTCCAGACTGTAACTTTGTATTGCATTGAGGGATTTTGAAATAATTTGGCACAAATGTCTATCTCATAACAACATTTTGTTGCGTCCAGGAACCAAGTTCCTTCTTCAAAGGTCAAGGTCACACTTATATTTTGATCACAATTAGAGATTACTGGTACAATAATACAAAGAATTCAGCAATTAGTTACTTTCATTCTCTTTTCTTTTCATAATATCTGCATGTTTAAGAAACCTTTTTTGGGGCATTCGTCACTTGGCTGACAGCTCTTGTTCAATTAATGATGGATTATTTGTAATTTTGTGCAATCAATGATGGATCATTTATAATTGTGTACATTAATGGTGGTATCAGCACCTTTACAGTGTATTTAATGGGATGCTGTGTGACAATATATTTTAACACCACCTAAGAGTGTATGAATAAAATATATATACATTGTTGTTTTCTTACAAGATATTGTAGTTTAACAACTGTAAAATCATTGTGAACAATGTCATGGATAACAGTTTTACTGTATAGTTGATGTGTTGGTATCTCTAGTGAAAAGTGTGGTCTATTGGTCACAGTGTCTGCCACTTACCACAGAGATCTGAGGTTCCGACCATGTTTCCTCACCAGTACTGGTTAGTTACAGGAAGTGGACTCCAGAATGGTTGTCAGACAGACTACAAGCTCTCTTCACAATCAAGCTGAACTAGAAATGTTTAAAATTGAGCCACATCACGACAAAACCAACATAATGGGTTTACGACCAGCATGGATCCAGACCAGTCTGGGCATCTGCGCAGTCTGATCAGGATCCATGCTGTTCGCTATCAGTTTCTCTACTTATAATAGGGTTGGTAAGCGAACAGCATGGATCCTGATCAGACTGCGCGGATGTGCAGCCTGGTCTGGATCCATGCTGGTCGCAAACCCATTATGTTGGTTTTGTCGAGCCGCACCTCAAATGATTTCTGATATCAGTTGTTTGTTATCATTAAATTGTTGCTTACAACAAAAATTTTTTGTTTTTCCCCGC